ACTCTCAACCACTGCTCCACCAGGGAAGCCCATAACCCACTATATCTAAAATATAATCATTTCAACCTGTAATCAATATAAAAAATTATTACTAGGTTACTTTATGTTCTTTTCTTACTAAGTCTTTTTTTTTTTTTTTTTTTTTTTGGGCTGTGTTGGGTCTTTGTTGCTGCGCACGGGCTTTCTCTAGTTGCGGCAAGCGGGGACTGTTCTTCATTCTGGTGTGCAGGCTTCTCTTGTTGCAGAGCACGGGCTCTAGGCATGCTGGCTTCAGTAGTTGTGGCGCACGGGCTTAGCTGCTCTGCGGCACGTGGGATCTTCCTGGACCAGGGCTCGAACCCTTGTCCCTGCATTGGCAGGCAGATTCTTAACCACCGCACCACCAGGGAAGCCCCTCTTACTAAGTCTTTGAAAGCCAGTGTGTGTTTCACATTTGTAGCACATTTCAGTTCACATGAGCCACATTTCAAGAGCTCGACACACACATATGGCTGGTGGCTACCATATTGGACAGCACGGATCTAGAATCATTTTCAATCCATCGCCCATTTTAGGGGATGAGACTTCTCAGCTTTCCCCTTCTCCCTGGGAAAGCTGTCCTGATCCTAGACTTTGAGCTGATAGCTTCCAAGTAAGCCCAGGACAGGGAGCCTGAGACCACAACAGACAGAAACCCTAGGCCTGCCTGGGCCTGAAGGCTGGTGGGAAGGCTTTCTGTTCTCTGCAGCCCGAATACTCACCAAAGCCCCCGGGAGAAAGACAACCCTGCTTTTCCTCCTAACCCAAAGATTACCTTAATTGGAAATTCAATCTGAGTTTAAAACCGAGTCAGGCAGCTGCCCCCGACATGCCACCAGCCCCATGGGCATCCAGGATGAGGAATCCAAATCTCCCCTACACTCCCCTCCCAGTGGCACCGCGTGGAGGAAGCTGGCACCACCTTCTCACTCCAGAGACTCAGTGCCCAGCTGTGGGCCTGGCAGCCTTCTTGGAGGCAGCTCAACACCTTCATGTCCAAGGGCACAGCCTTGGCAGGAAGGACAGGGAAAGCAAAGGGGCAGAGAGGCTCAAGAGTTTGCCCCCAGGGCTTCCCTGGTGGCGCAGTGGTTGAGAGTCTGCCTGCCGATGCGGGGGACGCGGGTTCGTGTCCCGGTCCGGGAAGATCCCACATGCCGCGGAGCGGCTGGGCCCGTGAGCCATGGCCGCTGAGCCTGCGCGTCCGGAGCCTGTGCTCCGTAATGGGAGAGGCCACAACAGTGAGAGGCCCGCATACCGAAAAAAATAATAATAAAAAAAATAAAAATTAAATTAAAAAAAAAAAAAAAAAAGAGTTTGTCCCCAGCAGGGGAGAGCTTGGGGAAATCCCTCCTTCTCTCCAAGCTTCCATTTCCTCACTTTTAAAAGCGAACATGTTAAATGATGGCAATGACTGCTTTTACTGCTGGCTGCTCTGTGCCAGGCATTTTACAGGCATTAGCTCATCTACTCCCCAAAAAAACCCTAGGAAGAAACAAGATCCAGGGTTCAGAGTGGTGAGGCAACTTGGGCAAGGTCACATAGCAATTCGGTAGGAGAGCCCGAATTCTAACTCTTGGTCTTCCAAATCAAGAGCTTCAGCTCTTACCTAATCTAAGCTCTTCTGTGTCCCAGGGTGGCCCCAGACAGTCCTGGCTTACACCTGTCGTAACTATATACACTTGGCATAATAATTTTAAATGTTCCATTTGGAAGAAGAGACAAATCTTCCGTACAGAAGGATTCCAAATAATGTATGTGGATACCTCCCCCTCCAAAAGGTAGAACTTAATTCCAGACCCTTCTCCGTCCTGAATGTGGGCTGACCTTGATGTCTGTGTTCCAAAGATTAAATTAGGGAAAAGGGAAAATGGTAACTTTATAGTAGAAAAAGCTGGCAGATACCACCTTAAAGTCTGGAGTTTAGGTAACAGTGAGGTATGAATGTTGGCTTTGATGAATGTATTACTGTAATGAAAGAAGTTAACATTAGAGGAATCTGGGCGGAGAGTATATGGGAACTCTCTGTACTACCTTTGCAACTTTTCTGTAAATCTAACATCAGTACAACATAAAAGTGTTATTTTTAAAAAGTGCCCCCTTTTACTCATAAAAGTGTCCAAGTTTGGACAATAAATTATATGATCGCCTGGTCACAAGCCTGGCTCTCCCCCTAACCAAGAAGTCTTAAGAAAATTACCCATACCTTCTTTCTGCCTTAATGATACTAACTACTCACACGTTCATGACAATTTAAAGTTTACAAAGTTTAGAGTGGGAAAATGTGCTGGTTAAAGCTTTGGAATCAGAAAGCCAGGGGCTGAAGCCCTGGTTCTCTCACTTGCTTGTCAGGTGGGCTAAAACATATTGTCTTCCTTCTCTGGGCCTCAGTTTCCACATCTGTAGAATGAATTCATCGAAGGACGACAATGACTAGTAATACTGATGAAGTCCTTGCTGGGTGGCCAGCACTGTAGCAGACAATGTGATCTGCTACCCAGTTTCCCCTTTAGAACCAAGGATTTATTTCTCCCCTCCCCCTGCCCCTAACCCAGCTGCTCAGACTGCTGCCCGCTGTCAATCCTGTCCAGGGATTGCCCTTGGCTGAGGAGAGCCATCCAGCCCGAGGTCATGCCCCTTTCTGGAGGTTAGCCTGCATCCAGTGCAGAGGGTGTAAAGATCCAGCTCCCTCACTTCAACTTGGGATAACTTTGAAGGTCATCTCCACTGCAGGCTGCCCCTTGTGGTCGGCTGATGCATTGTGGAGACTGCATGGCAGCCCAGCATCTCCCTCCGCCCAATCCTGCCGCCTTCCCTTCGCCACAGGTGTTGATCCTGAGAGGGCTTCTGTAAACTTCCTGCACACTAATCTCCATCTCAAAGTTGGCTTCCAAGGGAACTCATGCCACGACAGGGCTGTGAACCACTGGACTTGCACTATGTTTCTTAACTCTCAGACCAACCCCATTTTTATAAATGAGACAACTGAGGTTGATTTAGCCAAGAACATACAACTAAGCAATGGTGGCACCACAGATGGGGAAACGGAAGTTCAGACGGGCAAACTGATTTGCCCAGGTCTGAGCTAAAAGATGGTAGGGCCAATATTTGGCCCTCGGTCTGCTTAATCCTGAAGACCACAGTGCGAAAGCCTCCAGCCCAGTTCATTCTGAGCAGCCAGCAGGATTGCTACAGGCACTGGGACAGGCTAGTACCTGTCACCACTGTCCTGCTGCACACTCTGCTGTCCCCGCAGCTCAGCCACATTTGCAAAATGGGAATAATAATAGTACCTACCCCCTCACGATCTTGTAAAGATTAAATGAGTTAATGTATGTAAAGACCTCAGAATGGTGACTGGCTCATAGGAAGCCCTTTATAAGTATTAGGTTAAAAGAAAATCACATAAGCAGCATAAAGTTGCAACTGTGAGATGTTCTAAGAAGACATCCATGCAGCTGAGTGAGAGGTGGCCTGTGATGGGGGGTTGGGCCTCATCAGCTCTCTATGGGGGTCAGGCTTCACCTGAGCTCTGAAGGAGGAATAGACACTACGGGGGCAGCAAGAGAAAGGAAGAG